TAGGGAAGACTGAACTGTTTCATTTCTGGAGTTTGTATTTCACTGCTGCCTTTGCTTTTTGAGACTTGTTTTACTTTTCTACTAATGGCTAGATCTTAAAATGACAAAAAACCACCACCACCAAAAACCCCAACAAATGCAATAGTCTGTGTAAAAACTACTGCTGTAAAACACAGTTGATTTAATTCATTGATCTACTTAAGGATGTGTGCCCCAGATTTGCAAATAATACAAATTCGTTTTAAGTCCAGAATATGTTGAAATGGTCCATAAGTGAATAAAACGTAAAGTGAAATTGTCATTCTCCAGTTACTTACTACAGTGCACAGGTAAAAAATCAGTTGACCACTGGCTGGTGTCAGTGAGTAAAACACACTTGACTGTTTTGTTAAGAGACTTCCACTTTTATAGTGAATTGCTGTTGAAGGCACAGTAATGGACCAGATACAGTAATGTTTTTCTCTTGATAGCATTTTATCTGCTTATCATTGAGTAGACAGAACAATATGACATGTTTTTATTTGTGTAGTGCAGTTGTTATTAACCCAGTGGCTGGCAAATTAATAATAATCTAGGTGTATGTTCAGATGACTATTCAGAACCTACAACATACGGCATAGTTTATGGCAACAGGGTTTTTTTTGTACAAGCTGGTGCTTAACAAATGTTTTTTATTGTAATAGAAACTAACAAAGATGTTCTTCAAAGATAGTGGTGTAGTTGTGATGCTCCCAACGTTATTTTGGTGTTTTTTCCTTGCCTTGGTAGAAATGTTTGTGTGTACTTTTAGGCCTGATTGTGAACCTACTTCAAGTTTCCAGTGACTTTCTTGGGAACTGTTTCAGGCTCTGTAAATCTGTAAGGCACATCCCATCGTGATAGGCAATTTAGAAAATGTGTATTAAGATGTAGTTAAACATTTAAGATCTGGTACATATTATTAGCTTGCATACATATTAAGAAAGATTTATTTTATTCTGTTTTCTTAGGTTGTTCTTACAGGAATTGGAGCAGATGAACAACTTGCTGGCTATTCTCGACATCGTGTTTGCTTCAAAAAATATGGCTTAGAGGGTCTGAATAAAGAACTTGAAATGGAGTTGGATCGCATTTCTTCTAGAAATCTTGGTAGAGATGACAGGATTATTGGTGATCACGGGAAAGAAGCCAGGTATTATTGTTTTAACATGAAGCAAAACTGGTTTTACTGGTTAGATTCTGCTTTTAATGCTCCAATAGAAAGCTTAACTGAAACTTCTCTGCAATTTATTGTCTGTAAGTTCTGTTGCAGTTTTGTTAATGTGTACTGTGTTGGAGGGGGTGTTTTTAAAAAGTGGTCTGTAGTACTGTGTAAGAGTTACTTAAGGAAATTTAGCAACTTGAACATTGGTTTTCCATCTGGAAGTTTTAAGAAGCAACGACAGATGTTGAAATAGTCAAAATCAAGTTGGTTTTATCATTTTAAGTGGAACAATCTTCTGCACAATTTTGAAGTATTCTGGTGTGGTCATTTGAGGAGTGACTTCAGAGAATGACAGCATAACATAGAAGCCACTTATTCCTGTCCATGCAATAAAGGCATGATCAATATCCAGTGCATTTCCTGGTTCCTAAGTCAGAATAGTTAAAGAATCATTTTACTTCCTCCATGCTACCACCAACTTTCCAAAAATTCCTTAGGTGGTGTCCAGTAGCAGAGGCCACTCAGGTGAATGAAGGGTCTTTTCATGTGATCTTTATGAGAGTATTTTTCCAAGTCTGTTCTTAGTTGCACATTTTCAGTTTAGCAGCTGCAGTGGTGGATGGGCAATGTTGTTAATCATGCTTGTGATTAGATATGAATGCCTGGAATTTGGAATGTTGTCAGAATTTGTTGTGTAAATATTTTTGTTTCAAAGTTATGGTGTAGCTTCATACAGTATCTTTAAATGTTTTGAGGTTGTCTTGAGAAGTGTTACTTCAAAATTTGTCTTGCTCTTCCATTATATTTTCTGATCGGCATGATTTTTGTTTTGTTCTTACTTGATACTTGTTCTTACTCTTTGCTTGAGCTTTGAAAACTTTCAGGCTTCTGAGTTTAAACATGGTATATTATGTTCTCATTCTGGAAGACAGTGTAACTGCTTTGGTGACTTGCCTCAGTACTGTGACACTAACATTTAAGGTACATCTCTAGTTGGGAATTGACACACACTCTGAAGTCTTTGCATGTGGTAAAGGGGATAACCAAGACTACTAGAAGTTTTTAGAGAGTCTTACCCCATGTATATCTTTCCTTCAGGTTTCCTTTTCTTGATGAAGATGTTGTTTCATTCCTCAATTCTCTACCCATCTCAGAAAAAGCTGACTTGACTTTACCTCGAGGAATTGGTGAGAAATTGATTCTGCGCCTTGCAGCCAAGGAGTTTGGCCTTACAGCCTCAACCATTTTGCCAAAAAGGGCTGTACAGTTTGGATCTCGGATTGCAAAACTAGAGAGCAACAGTGAAAAAGCATCTGACACATGCAGGAGACTGAAGTTCTTTTCAGTAGATTAATTATAAAGCTATGTTTTGAGACGTTGCATTTATCCTATATGCAAATTCAGTAAATCTTTGGAGTTTTCTTAGAATGTTTTATCTGTTTTTTTACACACTTGGACATTATTATTAATTATCAAAGTAATACACTTAGATGTGTACTTGTACTAGAGACTCACTATGAATGCATCCTCGAGGTGAAAGGGAACACTGGGCTCTGGGGAAGAGAGGACAGCCAGAGGTTGGTTTTCCCACCCTTCCTACCTGATGTCAGTGTTGCAAAAACTGTGTTGAATCTGTCCGATCTGTCACATGTATAGAATTCAGCACAGTAGGTTTTCCTCTGTTGTAGAACAGGGCTGGCCTTGCAGCTGTACTTTAGGAGAGGTGCAGGTTCTGGTTTTAGAAGGGAGGGTGTGGTGAGGAGCTGGCCTGGGTTGCCAGAGCCAAAGAGAGCTGAGGGTCTTGGGCCTTGAGGTGATCTGCCCGCCAAGCATCATGTTTGCCCTTCATTACCTGAGAAACTGGCACCCCACACACACCCTGGGTGTTCTGGGGCCATCCCATGCAGCCTCCAAGTCCTTGGCCTGTTCTTCAGGGCTGGGTTGGTGGTCCCCAGCCCCCAGGTCTTCCCAGAGAAACTGAGAAGCTCCCTCCAGGCTGTTCTTTGTCCCTCGTTGGCTTTTAGCTTTAGCTCTGCTACTTCTAGTTCTAAAGTTGCAAAGCATCCATTGTGTACTTCAAGGAAGATCTCTTGAACCGAGCAAACCAAAAAAAGGCACTCTGGGTGGGTATGTGGCTGCAATCATGGGGTTGAAATAGAAATATGAAGGGGCTTCCTCTGAAGAGAAGTTTGAGTTAGCCTGTTTTGTGATTGTGTGTGG